TATATATATATATATATATATATATATATACCACATATATGTATATGTGCAATCACATATGCATAAGAGACACTTCCAAGGTTAGGGCTCTCGCTCAGGGGCCAGGGGCCCACATCATCCTAAATCCAGCCATGCAGGTTTGATAGTTGTCTTTTTCAGTTTTATATTCAACCAGCTTAATATTTACTGCGGCCTGGGTTTGAGCTGCGGGAAAACTCATGTCGGTACTACTAATTGTTAATTTACCTGCCCTTTCTTCATAACTGAATCAAATGTTTACTAAAACTTTATTAGTGGTGACTATAGAGGACTGATTGTTCAGGATGGGCTCCCAAACTAATTTCTGCTCAGGGACCCATACATTTGTCCAGCCGAGTCAGTAGGAGCAGCAGGAGGGAGTGTGGTGGTGGTGGTAGGTGGTGTCTCCATTTTGGAGCCCTATCTAATCCTCAGGGTATTATGTGATGCATGTGCCATATTGAAGAATAATACACAAACGTAGATTAATGATACCCTCCAAAAATCACATGAAATACGGAAAGGGAGAAGATATCTGGTTATGGTAGATTATAAATTCAGCCCTTTAGCAGCAGCAGTGGCTGGACGCGGGTGCGCATCACTTTGACTGGATTATTGCAGATCCTGATAACCGCAGGCACCCAGAGTTGAAAGTTGAAGCGGTCACTGGGAGGTCACGCCAGATTCCTCCGTTTCACGCAACTCCAAAGCTGCGCAAAAGCGATCACGCTTACTTCTTTCTTTTCTGTTTATCTTAAGTGGCCCGTTAAAAAACGCTCTTCAATGAATAATTTACTCAAGAATTAAATGATGATGTCCACATTGCAGCATGATGACACACTGGCAGGTTGCCTTAAATAGGCAGCTGGCGTATATCGATCTATTAAGTTTGTTTGTACTGTAATGACGAAACATTAGACAAGGCTACTTAACACTTAAATATGTGATGAATAAAAGAAGCGGAGATATTGGGTCAAAATGACGCGCGTAAAATCTGTCTTTACGCACAATCGTTTTTCGTTTTTTTTTTTTGTCGCCATTCTCTCTCTAAATAAATAAATAAATAAATAAATAAATAAAAATCACTACAGCATTACATACCGAAGCGCAGATAACGATCCCCGCTGAATGATCTCAGTTACCGCAGCTCGGCTCACGGCTCCTTCAGCAAAGCGCGACAAGCGGCTGCCTCAGAGAGCGCGCCGCCGCTCCGAGACACTCGACTGGCTCTCCGTGTCCTATGTGCCCGGGAGCGCGTGCACAACCATCCGTGCGCGTTCCTGTAAGAT